GGGCACAGATAATGACACCGTGGTACACAGGAAAAACGGGTACTGCTGAAGAGAGTGGTAGGGTGGAATAGTGGTTGGTGGTCAGAATAGGACAAATAGCAGACCAGTCCTGAGCCCTCTCTTTATGTCTTAAATGGAGAGGGAGCTCTGGGACCTAATGCATCATAGTCAGAAAGACTGTAGGCAGCTGTGTGTCTTTGGAGTGGGGCTTGTTCCCTCTCTGCTGTGTCCTGGGTATAACAGCCCAGACTAATCCTAAAGGCCAAGTAGATAGACTTGTCCAGTGTTTAGTGGGGCTGGGTTATGAGTAAGTTTCTAGGACTCTGGGGCCTAAAACAGGGTCCTGCCCTACTTGGCGGGGAGTGGAATGAGGAGAGATGGGCTCCAGGTCTCTGGCCTGCTATGGAAGTTGGAGAGAGTTTATGTGAGATTATCTGAGCTGGGGACATGCTCTGGGCTTCAAGGAGGCAAGGAACAAAAGGTCTAAATTTCTTCAGTTCAGGAGCAGTGTCTGTGTCTGAATTCTGGGCTATTTTAGGGAAGTTGGTGGAGCTTCAGGGGAAGTTCTCATTTAGGGAAAGTTTCCTGGAGTGCAAGGCCAGCAGGGGCCATCAGTGAAGCATCAGAACGAGGCTGTTCTGTCCTGTGGTGTAGCAGGACAGTGTTGCCCTCAGGAGATGGAGAGGCCTTGTTCCCCCACCCCCACCCCCAGTTGTTTGTTTTTTTTAATTGTAGTGAAACCACACATAACAAAACATATGCCAACCTAGCAATTCCTACACGTACAATTGGGTCACCATTGGTTACAGTCTTCACGTTGTACAACCATTCTCACTATCGGAAAGGCCTTTTTTCATGTGTGGCTTACAGGGCCAAGCTCAGAGTCAGTAGCTCACCGAGGATGAAGTCGAGGCCCAAGCTGGAAGGCTGAAGTATCTCTGTTGTAATTGAATGGAGGTGAGTTCTAGAAAGGGGCAGCCTCCTTTCCCTTCCTGTAGCTTCCTCCTAGACCTGTGCCTTGCCCTTGTGGTGAAGTACAGGATGATGCCCTTCAGGAGGGCGTGACCATTTCTGATCAAGAGTCCCTGAGCCCCTCCAGATGGTCCTGAAGGCAGAAAAGGAGAGAGTTGCTCATCAGTGGCCCTGAACACCATGGACTCTTTAGTGACATGTACTACGGACAAGAAGGGTCTGGTGTCACTATGACCCTGTCCAGGATCTGGGCTGTACTTGAGTGGGGCTTTCCCATGGCTTGGACGGGATATCACTACTCCTCCACGCGTGCTTGGTTTGGCTAGGTGGAAGTTGGTTGGGTAGATCTAGGGCTAGGCTTGTTGGTGAAGCCCATAGACGGGCTAATCAGCCAGATTCAGGTGTACCCTGCAGGGCTAGAGACAGCTAGCTAGCTGGGGAAGGTGAGCCTAGCCTGGTGCACAGTGTATTGAGTAATGGCCTAGATCATGCCCAGGAGATACTAGAGCCAGCAGAGTCTCCAAATAGAGTAGCTATGGGTGCCTCTCTAACAGTCTGAAACATGCTCACCTCCACCCCAAGCCAGGCAGCCAGTCTGTTCTGCTGTTTAATGGTATTGGATGTGACCAAGGGACTCCTTGTAAAGGCCAGAGATTTCATGTGCTCCAGATGAAGCCAGAGGAAGGGCAGGCAAACCCAGGAGCAGTAGCAGAATGAGGGCAAGTCAGAGCAGAGCTCAGGTTCCAGAGTGAGGGGGAGTGGTTGGCAGAGAACCAATAGAGGGACTGTACTCTGGACTCCTTTGGAAGCAGGGTGCATGGAGCAGGCATAGCTGCTCAGCAGGGACCCAGGCTCTCCTCTACAAGTTTGGAAGTGTCCTGGTCAGCCTGCGTGGGCAGGTGGACACAAACGGAACCAGAATGAGGCAGTATGGAAGGTTGGAAGAGCCCTGGAAGAGGAGTCAAAAGGCCAGGGCTCTGCCACTGACTTATGTGGCTCTAGGTGAACCTCTTTTTCCCTTCTCTGGGACTCAGTTTCCCTAATGGAAATAACAGCTGGGTTTGCCAGTCTGGAAGATCTGGCCAAGCATTTAGTCTTGCTGCAGTTTGTCTTAAGGACTGTGTTCAGAAACCTTCTGGTAGACACCAGCCTTTGCCTCCTTGTCCAGACCTCTTGGTTTCCCAAGTGGAGAGAGTTCACGGAGCCTCTCCAGGTGAGGCCGCTCCTATGTCAAGGATCAACTGAGGCTGCCACCTGAATGGAAGCATCTGCTGGGCCCTGCTGGACTGAGGAAGTGAAAACCCATCTAGGGTATGTGCTCACCTCAGACTTCCTACCAGTCAGTTCAGGCGCCCTCTGTCACCTTCTTTAACTCGTCTCTCAAGAAACAAAGGAAGATACCCAGGTCTAGGAGAGGGCACAACTAACCCCCTTGTCAGCTGCAAACCACCTTGCCACAGATGGCGGCTTCTTCAGCTCCCAGCAACTCAAACAAAGCCCACATTTTTCTACCAGATTGAAATCTTTCATTCTGGCCAAGGAGGCAAATCTGTTTACCGTATTGAAAAGCCAGAGGAGTTTTAAAATGGTGGGGAGAAAAAGCTGTTTTGTGAATTATAAAATGTGAGTTTGAATTTCTCATGCCATGTGATTCATCTCTGTATCTCCGCCCTCCGCCCAAAGCCTGGAACAAAAGACAGGTCAGGATCTATGCTTGCTGAGCATTTTAATTTTGAAAAATTGCAAGCGGGAGTTTTGTAGGAAAATCTTTTCCACCCAACTTTAAAAGAGAGAAGGAGGAATCTGATGCTTATTATTATTATTTCAATTTTTAAACAGCTTTATTAAGATTTAGGAGCCCTTAGGTGTGCAGTGGTTAAGAGCTCAGCTGCTAACCAATAGGTCGGCAGTTCGCATCTACCAGCTGCTCTTTGGAAACCCTGTGGGGTGATTCTACTCTGTCCTATCGGGTTGCTGTAAGTCAAAATCAACTTGATGGCAATGGGTTTGGTTTTTTGATTAATATTTAATTCGTGTTACATGATTCATTCATTTAGAGTATGCAGTTGGTTTACACTATATTTATAATATACTTAGAGCTGTGCAACCATCACAACTAATTTCAGAACATTTTGATCACCCTAAAAAGAAACTTCATACCCATTAACAGCCACTCCTCATTTAAAAAAAAAAAAAAAAAGTAGAGCTTATGTGAGCCAATTTGCAGAGCATGTTTCTTGCCTCCCCCAGTGGCAGATGTGAACCTGGGTGAGAGCTAAGAAAGTGTATCAGTGCTTTCTTTCATGTGCTTAGCTCCGTAGAAACTCCTGCCCTGGGCCTGGGATGGAGTGGGAGGTGCTTTGTCTCTGTGCAGTACTGGAAGAAGCCACTAGGTGGGAGTCAGGGACAAATTCTGGGAAGTCTAAATCCCAAGGAAGAAGGTAGGGCTTTATAAACAGCAAGAAAATAGCTTCGCTCTCCCCCTCCTTCTTTTTTAAATGAAAAAGATGGCTTAGCACCTTGTTATTTAACCTTCTGGACAGTGTACTTAGGTCAGCTGGCAAAGAGTTCTTTTCTCCTTTTCCTTGGTGACCAGTGGACAAAGGGCAGGCTAGGGAGACCTCCACTCTGTGGGATCAGGAAGAGGAGACAGTGGGAGGGCTGAGTGCTATGGTCCTTGGAGCAAAGAGCTGGTCTTCCATTGTCAAAGGTGAGAAATCCTGTTGAAACTCCATGACTCCAGTGCCTTTTGCCAGGACCTGTTATGATTGCTCTCTCCATTCCTGGAGGCATTTCCTGACTCAGTCTCCCCCAGGCCCTGCCCCAGAGAAGCTTCCTGTACCTTGGTGAATTTCTAATGCATTTTTCCTGGCATAGTACCCTGGGTTGGGGGCCTTCACCCACTGCAAATATAGCTATTTTAATTTTCCTAGCTTTTGATTTTTCCCCCCACAAAGTAAACTCTACACTACTAAATTCCAAAGAGCTGGCTCCTTTCAGACATGACCTGAGGGGACTATTTCAGTCCCCCTAAGAGCCAATGTTTATAAATGACCAAGAATGTGCAAACACTGGTGAAAGAGCAAATAAATCCTTCCCCACTAAATTTTCTGCTTTAGGCCCAGGGGATGTGGTAGCAGATGTTGCCAGGTTAGCTTGAGTCTGAGCATGTTGACTCCCATCCACCCTCTACCCACAAAGAAGGCCTGCCAGAGCCACACCTTCAAGAGCCTTCTGCCCTTTCAGGTACCCACTAGTTGGTAGGCAAGGTTAGTCAGCTCTGGGGAATTGATGCTTCCAGGAAAACTTGTTTAGTACCCCATGCTTCAGTGAACTTCTGAAAGTGGGTTTCCTAACCTCCTGCTAGTCAAAGTATGGTTCTTGGACGAGCAGTATCAGAATCATCTGGGGACTTATTAGAAATGCACAATCTCAGGCCCCACTCCGAACCTACTGAATCAGAATCTGTACTTTTACAAGAAGCCCCTCCAATCCAGGTGATTTATTATAAGTGGAGAAGCATTGTCTTAGGCCAAGGGTTAGCCAGCTATGGCCTGCATTAGGCCCACTAACCATTTCTTATAGCCCATGAGATTTCTAAGTGGTTAGGGGGAAAAATCAGAAGAAGAATATATCATGACTTCTGAAAATTATATGAAATTAAAATTTTAGTGTCCATAAATAAAGTTTTATTGGAACACAGCCATACTGAGTCATTTACGTATTATCTATGGCTGCTTTCATACTACAAATGTCAAAGTTGAGTTTGACAGACAATGTTGCCCACAAACCCTAAACTATGTACTATCTGTACAAGAAAAGTTTACTGACCCTTGTCCTAATCCATTTTGGAGATGGGTTCTCCGTGCTTGTACACTGTGAGAACGTGGACGGTGATGGCCAGGTTGCTGCTTCATGAGCAGGACTTCCTGCCCAGCCCACAGGAACAGTGTACTCTGGGCTGGGCTCCTCCTCCTCTTCTTCTTCCTCCTCCCCTTGTCCTTCTCTTCTCACCACTTCCTCCTAGTAGCAGGTCCAGTGTGCAGGGCCACCCATTGAAGAATACAAGCTGTATCTGCACTTATCCAGGGGGTATCGTGGCAGCTATCACCCATGACCCGGAGACCAAGGCTCAGAGGCTGAGCAGGAGCTCAAGATGCAGGTGATTAGATCAGTGGAAAGGCACATGACCCACAAGTCTTCTCTCAGTCCACAATTCTGCCTAATAAGGTGCTGGCTCCTTGTTGCTGGCAGGAGTAAAACCTTGGAAGCCCCACCTCAGCCATTCCCACAAATACCTGGAATTCCAACCAGGTAGGTGACAATTCTTGAGCTTTCCTTCTAGGCCTGGGGGTAGGGAAGAATGGACAAGCTACAATGAGTTCTCCTTGTCCAAACCTGACTACTCTGGCGTCTTAACTGTGGCTTCACTCCAAACCTCTTAGTCTCCTAGTCTCCTGCCCTTTGCCCTTGGCTGACTGCCTCTTATTCTACACAGTAGTGAGTCGAGTCTGGTTGCAGGTGAGTGAGGTGCTTTTGGAAAAGCCCTGAGGGCTGTCAGGGTCTGACCCAAATTTGCATACTCTTTGTAGTTCCTGAGTACTTCATTCTTCCAAGATGGGCCCAAGGAGTTCCCTAAGGCTCCACCCTCACAGGAAGCTGGGAGCCCAGGCCCAGTCGGAGTAACTGCTTAGGCCAGATAAAACACAGGTTGTTAATCTTTTGGGACTCATGGGCCATTCTGATAATCTGATGAAAGCTCTGTTTTCAGAGAAATGGAGATATATGCATACACATAGTATTGTATGTACATTTTATGGACAGGTTCAGGGAATGTGAAGTGTCCTGGCCTGGATCCTGAGTGGGAGCAGTGTAACCCTGGGCATGCCTTGCCAGCACACTGATGACTGTGGCCCAGTTGCCACCCAGGATTAGTGTTACTATCGGATCTCATTTATCCCCACTCTGTCCCCTCCTGCCAGCCACACATAGGTGTCCAGCTCCTAGATCTTTAGGGTGATTTTTGGGGGGAGGGGGGTGTTATTTTATTTGGTGGGTTTTTGAGTTGAATTACAATACAAGTAAAATGTATTTTGATGTAAAAAAGGCTGAAGTAAGAATTGTCTCTTAAGGATACCATAAAATATGTAAAGAATCTGGCAGCAGCTTGTCAAGATTCCCTCCCTCCTCCTTTCTGCCCTCTCTCTCTCCATCTCTCCTTATCTGTCACACATTAATTAAGCTAATAGATGAAATGGGCCCTGCCTTTTCCTCTTTGAATCAAGCATCTTTACTCTGGGGAAACAAACCTTCAAGTCTCTGTTTTCTCCAAATAGAATTTTAGTCTTACGTTGCCAGTCTTACCATTTGAGCCTCATTCTTTCACTCAGAGAATGTTAATTAAGTTCCTACTGTGTACCAAGAACTGTGCTAGGCATGGAAGTCAGAAACAAATCAGAAATAAGACACACTATCTACAGTCTGGTGCAGTAGACAGACATGCGAAGTCACTTGTGGTTCAGTGAAACAGGGCAAGTGGTGAAGTAGAAGGGAACCTGAGTGCTTAGGGAGGAGAGAGAGGAGGCAAGCCGGGAAAGCTTCCTGGAGGTGCTGTCACCTGAGCCACATTTTGATGGGCAGGTGGGAGTTTAGCAAGGCTGATGAGAGGCAGCCATGTTGGTCTTCTTGTCATCTCTTCCCTTCTCTCATGTACCAGAATCCAAGAAAGGGCACTGAGCCCTCTCCATGGGGAGCGGGGTTTTCTCTCATCCTGCAGGGGCTGGGACTCTGCCCAGCCTCTCCGCATTCAGCCCTAAGATCAGCTCCCCTGCCTCTTCCTCCCCAGAGCCCCAGATATACCTTTATTACATCCAACCACCAAAAGAACCAAACCCACTACTGTCGAGTTGGAGTTGATTCAGACTCATAGCGACCCCATAGGGTTTCCAAGGCTGTAAATCTTTACAGAAGCAGACTGCCACATCTTTCTCCCTTGGAGCGACTGGTGAGTTAGAACTGCTGACCTTTTGGTTAGCAGCTGAGTGATTTAGCCACTGCGCCACCAGGGCTTCTTCCTTTATTACATACCATGTGCTAATTCTATATTTACTCAGGGCAGGAAGTTGGTTTCATTCTTCCTGGATGCTGAGCAAATGTGTGTTGGCTGAATAAATTTCTTCGCTTGACTCTCCCAGGCTTCTTGACAGGGAAAAAAAAAAAAAGTAAAGCCTACCTATCCCTGCAGCTTTTGAGATGTCCTTCATTAGCACATCCCATCTCGGAATCGACCGATGGCTATGGGTTTGGTTTGGTATCATACTTCTAAGCAGGGACCTGGACTGGGTGACGCCTGGGCCACACTCTAGAACTGGGCCAGAGATGAGGAAGAAGGCTCTAGAGCTCTGTGCATGGACAGCAGAGTCTGCTTTCCCTTTCTGGCCTCTGATCTGGGTGTGTCTCCAGGAATTCACTCCTCCCCAAGTGCCAGCTGCTGGCCAGAGCTCCCCTCCTCCTCCCCTGTGATCTCTGTGAGCTCTGCCAGCCCTGCTTGGGACTCTGCCGTCAGACATTGTCCCTGCCTCATCTTTGGGACCCTTCTCTTGGCTGTGGTGTATGTTGTTATTGTGCTGAGGGGCATGCAGACTCCCAGGAGAGCAGTCTCTTCAGACTAGGAGTTCTGGAAAAGCCAGTGGCAGCCCTCAAGGGCATCAGGAAGGCCTACACAGTCACAAGATGTGCTTCTGCAAGTCATTTTCCACAGCAGAGCTGCGGGCCCTCGTATGTAATCACAGTTCCTGCTGCACCCACATCAAAGGTCACTTGCATAATCAGCCATGGCCAAAGGCAGCACATTAAGCGCTGGGCAGGGGAGCAAAGCTGCTTTTAGGGGAGCTCTCAAAGGAGATGGGAGTGCGAGGAGGAGGTGGCAGTGGTGGCATCTAGGCAGTGCTGGAGAGGGCATCCTGGTAAGCCAGCCTGTGACCTGCCAGTAGGAATACAGACACAGTCCCCTGTGCTAGACAGCTGCTGCCTCTCCAAGGCTCCTACCCAGGCTGCCCACTAAGTCTCCTGGAAACACATGTGAGGTGGCCTCACCCTTTCCACCTCCCTGGTTTGTAAAGCAGGTAGTTTAGGGTGCAGGAGAGCCAGCAAACAGCCTGGGATTTGACAGAGCAGTACCCCCCTCCCCCACCCTGCAGCCCCCAGGGACCATGTGGTGGTGGCTGACAGCAGCCAGAGCCAGACTCCCCCAGGCAAGGGTCTCCCGAGGTTATAGCGGTTCATCTCTGTAGAGGATAGTGCTGCCAGGGACAGAAAACACCCTGCATGGAGCCTGGTACCCAGCAGGGCCAAGAACCCAGACAGGAGCTAGTTCTGAATCTGTTCTTTTTTGGAAGCAACAGACTTTCCTCAGGGCACAACCTGGCGCCCCGCTGGAAAAAGGGGTAGGCGTGGGCTTCGGGGTGGGGGTCAGGCTGTGTGTGGGAACCAACAAGCTCCTCCAAGAGCAACACTTATTTTTAGTCTTCTCCCCAGTCCCAAATAAACTGTGAGCAGCTGGGAGCCTGTGGGTAAATGCAGAGTGAAGCAGAGACAGGAAATCAGGGGTCTCTTGGTAATGAGTTCCAGCCACTCCAGGAGGGAGAAGCCAGAGGAGGAATTTTCTTCAGGACTGTTTCTCTTTGGCAGGCTCTGGTATTATCACTGAAAAGAAACTTCGTGTGCGTGTGTGTGTGCGCGTGTGTGCGTGCGTGTGTGTGTGTGTGTGTGTGTGTGTGTGTGTGTTTTCACAGCTCCTGTCCAAGGCTTTTTCTTTTTTCCCTACCTTTTTGTTAGGTTCGATTGCACAGCAGGACTCTGAATTCCTGGTGCTGGTGCCTGTGGCCTCCACTGTGTGGGGTGTGTGTGTCTGTGGGGGTGGTGGGGGAGGATACTGGTGCAGCTTGGTCTGGTCTGAGTAGTTGTGTATCTGAAACTGTTTAGGGAAGGGCTGAAGGACGCAGGCCAGGGAAGTGGGGAAATTTGAACACAGCTTGGCGTTCCTGAGGGGGGAGGGCAGAAGCAAGGAAGGGGAAAGAACTTGGTCTCCAGCCAGAAAAAGGGCTTTTTCAACCAAGGAATCTAACTGCTGACATGGGTGCCCAGCATGGATGGGGACATTGATGTTTACAAGCATTTCTCGTGGCTGAAGAGGGTAAGTAACTGACCATCTTCTCTGGGTCTCTGTGGAGATGAGTGAGAGGAGAGACACTTTGGAGTGTTTTCTGTGTGTGTGTGTGTGTGTGTGTGTGTGTGTGTCTGTGTGTCTGTGTGTGTGTGTCTGTGTGTGTGTGTGTCTGTGTGTGTGTGTCTGTGTGTGTGTGTCTGTGTGTGTGTGTGTGTCTGTGTGTGTGTGTTGAAGGGGAACGTATTTGTCCGGCAGAGCCCTGTTGTGGCCAAGTTCTTCATGAGAATCTAATTATAGGCACTAGGGAGAAAACAGCTGTCTTTGTTTCTTCTCTGACATTCTGGTGAATGAGCCTCTGTACAGAAAGGCTAGTATTGAGTGAGGAAGTTAGTTATTTTAACTTTGGCACTTAAGCAGTCCGAGGCTGCAAGCACTGTGACCAGAAAATGTGTCCACCGCTTTTGGGTTTGAAGACGCAGAGGAAGCCGCTGCCTTTTAAATGTACTGGATTCAGAAATTATTTAACTTATTCTCCCTCTGATGTTATCCAGTGTGGAGAGGACGTCTGCTGTCAGCCGAATGAGCTCCTGTGCTTCCGGAGGGAGGCTCTTTGGGAGTTCTCTTTTGAATGCTCTGAAGCTGAGGGTTTGGGTTGCAAGTTTTCCAGCCCTTTCTTTAGGGGATGAGCGTTGAGTGTTTGGTGTGAGCGAGGAATGAATGAATATTGGGAGCTAGAATAGCCTCCATACTCACAGAACTCAGGCTGTCTTCTCTTTTGTGACTGCCTTTAAGTTGGCTGAGATGGATATGCATTTAATTTTCTCACTAAGGAATTTTAGGCCGTGTGTTTCTCAGAGACAGGAAGGCAAAAGCAGCTGATAGATAAGAGATTTGACATTGTAACTGCAGAGGGACAGGAAGCATCCCACTAGGAAGGGAAGTGCAGGTCCCTTCACCAGTGAGACAGCTAGCCTTTGTGTGTGCCCTGTACAGTCACTCATTCAGCAAATATTTATTGAGTTCCAAGCATGGGACGTACAATAGCGAGCAAAGCAGAACCAGTCTCTGCTCTTGTGGCTCTTCTAATGCAGGAGATGGAGGTTCAACAGTCCCATTAAATAAATCCCAAATGTAAACTGATAAGTGC